CTATCTTAGAGAAACAATAGGATCCTTTCAACTGGTCAAACAGATCATCTATACGGGGTATAGGGTATTTGTTCTTAACCATAACCCGATTCAATTTTCGATAATCGATACAAAGTCTCAAGGCACCATCTTTCTTTTTAGCAAAGAGGGCCAGTGCTCCCCACGGTGAAACACTAGGGCGAATAAAGCGCTTATCTAGCAACTCTTGGAGTTGGATCTTCAACTCACTCAACTCGGCTGGGGCAAAACGATAAGGTGCCATGGAAATCGGCGCCGTGCCGGGCACTAAGTCAATAGAGAACTCGATCTCTCGATGTGGTGGCAAACTCACAAGATCCTCAGGAAAAACGTCCGAGTACTCACAAACCACTCTCGGCAATACAGTCTAGGTCTCATCACACTCACCACTCATAAAGCTAGCGAGAAGACCACTAAGCTCACTCCGCCCTCGCAGATCATACACCGGTGGCAACACACTACCAACCCGATCCCCCAAGAAATGGAAACAATCCCCGCTCAAGGTACAAACAGTGACCCTCTAGCGGTAACAATCAATAACTGCCCGGTATGACGATAACCAGTCCATATCCAAAATCATATCAAAACCCGACATAGCCATAACTACAAAAGAGAATGGAAGACGGCGGTCGGCGACCTCTATGTCATAACCTCTACATCCTTGTTTCAAAATCAATTCGCCCCCAACAGGCGATACAACACAAATAGGAGATGCTAACTGTGCCAAATCCAATCCCAAAATAGATGCAAATACAGCAGATATAAAGAAATGTGATGCACCCGTATCAATCAACACATTGGCAACCGAGTTGCAAAACAAAAAGGTACCTCTCACAACAGATGGAGCCGGCACAAGATCCTCCGCGGTAACAGCATACACGCGCCCGGTAGGTCTCTGGTCAACCTGCTCACCTCTCGGAGCAAAAGACTGCGGCACAGACTGAGATGATGAAGCCCCTTGATTAGCCCTCGAGGCCTAAACAAACTGTGCTGGCTGCGAACTCTGCGTCTATTTCAAACCAAACGCACCGAGTGTACCACCCAACTGTGGGCAGAACCTCTTCGGGTGCCCCGCTTGGCCACACTGGTAACAGGAAGACGACCGGCCTCTGCCCTGACTCTGGCTCTGAGGTCGAGCCGAAGATGAAGCTGCTCCCTGACCTCCTCCCCTCTGCGGGGAAGCTGGAGACTTGTGGCCCAGCTGACCACATTTGAAACAGGTAAAGTCTCCCTGGCTGCCTCTCCTAGAACCCGAACTCGGTACTGGAAAGGTAGATCTCACCAAAGCACTCTGGGACTGTTGAGGGTTAGAACCCCTCTGCCTCCTACCATCCCCCTGGCCATCCTGACTCCTCTTGGAGCCCCTTATCCTTTCCTCCTCCTCCTGCATCATAGTCTCCATATGGGTCGCGGCATCCACAAGACGCCTATACTCCCGGATCATGGATCCCCTAACTCTCATCTTGAGCTCGTGCCTCAACTTCCTCTCAAACTCAATACAATGGCGTTCCTCAGACGCCACAAGCTCAGGTGCAAACCTGGATAAACTGGTAAATACGGCTTCAAACTCGGCCACTGATAAACTCAACTGCTTGAGCTGACAAAACTAGTCCCTCAGTTTCTCCCTAACAGCTGGAGATAAGAACTTCTCCTAGAAAGCATCTACAAAAGCCTCTCATGTACCACCAACACGACCTCTCATGAACTTCCACCACTGACCTGCATCCCCCTTAAGCTGGAAAGATGCCAAGGTCACCTTCAACGCCCCGTCTTCGATGCCAAGCATCTCAAACGTCTTCGTCATCTGCTCCAGCCACTCATCAGCCTTAAGTGGCTCCTTAGGATCCCCAACAAACTCATTCGAATTAGACCAGAAAAACTCCCTCTTTAGAAAAGAAGGCCCTGCATCAACAACCTAGGCCGGGGCTTGATTCTCAGCTCTGAGAATGCCTATGGATTCCCTCAAAGCTCCTGATATCTCGCGGGCTAAGGCGTCCATGGCCTGCTGACCCACTGGTTCGGTCACATTGGCCTGACCAACACCCTCCTGCTACGCCGGAATCTCATCCGGTATAGGCATCTCCTGCCTCCTAGGCCTACCTCGCCTACCACCACGTCCTCGTCCTGACATCCTAATAAAGGTAACGAAGAACATTAGCACATTCACAAATGTGCCGAAGCTATAACACTCGCGTCCTAATGCAATGGACAATTGTAATTCACTCCACGTAAGCACATAATCACATAAGTACTTACAAAATTTATTTCTGGATAATGATAGTCCCGGGGCGTTGCTAGAGTTCCGGTTAGAAACGGCATTGATCAAGTGCTTTTCTAACAAGACTCACAGAAACCCAAGGATCCAATCAACATCCTAGAAACTAAATCCTATAACCATATAGCCACATAAACATGTTATCACATAAGCACATAACACTACATCTAAGTCTCTAACAAGCGAGACAAACCCATTGTGATACTAATCACTTCCCACGTACCCAAAGTATTCAAACCCAGTACGCTCTGATACCAAGTTGTAATGCCCTCAAAATAAACCCAAAAATAGACATCCATGATACAAGAAAGAGATATCACATTTCATAAATCAGAGTATTCTTATAGAATGTATTACATGTTGACAACAAAAGTAAATGCCCTATGGGCTTACCACTTTCCAAGTCAACACTTGGTTACAAAAAGGAGAGTACTAACTCTACACAAAATAAGCCCTTAGCTTGATATATATGTAATACAAAAAGTAATCAAAAAGGTCTCTCAGCCACTAAGCCTCCCAAGCTACGTCCCTAGAGGTGGCATGTCACCTGCACTTGAAAATGATGTCCCAAATAGGGTGAGCCAACGCCCAGTAGAGATATGCTAAACATAATATGAGCAATAACTAAAACATTAGTACTTGATAAATGTTTAACTCATATAAACCAACATACAGTACAATCCAGTTCCATAATCCTTTACTTATCCAATTCTCAACTTATAAACACGGCTCAGAATCTGGCCAAACAACTTAGATGTGACTACATCTCATGCCAACAATACTTCAAACTGCCATTTTACGGAAATTGCGTCCGCGGGATTCGGCACCCATGTGTAATTATTTTCTTGTGGCCATTTTACGGAAATTTCATCCGCGGGACTCGGCACCCATGTATAGATATTTTCGAATTTGCCATTTTACGAAAATTTCATCCGCGGGATTCGGCACCCATGTATAATTATTTCAAATTGCCATTTTACGAAAATTTCATTCGCAGGATTCGACACCCATGTATTCAAATACTTATCATATACAATGACCAATCAATACACATATTCGTTGTATTATTCCAACCGTCATACTCAATGACATACTCAAATTGATTAGTTTTAATTCATCTAATCATCATGCAGTATCTACAACAATCAAGACTATCCTCCACCGATAGCTCAAAGTAGTTATTTCTAAACAGATAATAAATGCAGCAATAGATAAATTATCAATAATTCACAAATGTGAGTGATTAATCAATCCAACTCCACCATTCTTTCTCATAACTTCCCAATTTCACTATTTCACAATGAAAGTCATTAATTACACTAATGACCAACTAAAACCCAAATATGGCATTTTCCCCATTTCCTCAACATTGACCCAAAGGTCCAAATATTACCAACAACATCAATAACCTCCTTTTTAGACCCAAAACACAAATGTTTGAATCAAAAGAATAAAACCCCTCTTTCCAATATAACACATCTCAAACCCTAACTTCCCAAATCAAACCATTTATACAAAAAGCTCAACATTTAGGTTAAAGCTCATAAAAATGAGTAGTTATCCCTACCTCAAATTCGGAGCTCAAAGGAGGAAGATGAAGAAATTCGAAATACTTCAAACCCCAATATTTTCGGATCAAAATGTAGCCTTCAACAAGTTCCACACTTTTTACAAAGGCCCAAGGATAGAAGCTCACTCCTACTAGATCAAACCCTAGAGAGAAGTTGGAGTTTTAGAGTGAGGTGCTCTCCAATAGAGGTTTTGAAAAGTAAGAGAGAGAAAGAAAGTGTGAAAAGTGATTTAAAATCACTCAGCTGCCCTCTGATATACGACTAGTCTGCTCGAACGGAGAATAGGACGCTCGAGCGTCAAGTACAAAAACTATACCCACTCGAGCACAAGAATACCCGCTCGAGCGTCAAGACACAACTGCAAAACACACCCGCTCGAGCGCAAAGAGAAACCCGCTCAAGCGTAGATTACCCTCCCCCAGTATTTTTACAGACAAAGAACACCCGCTCGAGCACAAAAAGGTCTGCTCGAGCATGAAAAACACATCTGCAGTAGCTTTGCAGACGCACAAGATACTGAAAGTGTGCAAACTTCGCTCGAGCGCAAAGGGACCCGCTCGAGCGGATCACCAAAAACTTGGGCAACAACACTTAAGACCAAAACTCAACCCACCTATTCGAAACATACCCAAAACAATTTTAAACTCAATTACTAAGAGTTAAAGGATGGAAATGCAACACAGACAACAACCATCAACCACAGAGCCGGGTCGAGAATACAATAAACATGAGAGGAAAAACCGGGATCGCTATACCTATCATGTTATCTTAGTAAATACTATAAAAATTTGGACAAATTACATTTCAGTGTATGACAAAAATTAAATTGCATTTCAGTGGTAAAATTTATCAACTTTAATAATTAAAGTGATAAACTTTTTCACAACTTTACACAAAAAAAAAAAAAAAAAAAAAAAAAAAAAAATTGTCTTACTACTAATTTGAATTGAGCTTTTTCATAACTTTTCTTAATTTTTTTTTACAATATATCACAATAAAACACATAGGCCATGTTTGATTCATAAGATTAATATTGAGATATTAATAATTCTATCAAATTAGTGTGGTATTCACTATCTAATTAGATTAATAGGATAAATTATCGATTGGATTAATAATCCCACCTTACCCCGTTACTAATAATCCTACAAATTTGTTAGATTAATTATTCATTAGATTAATAATTCTAAACCAAAATGTTAAAACAAATATAGAATAATTAGACGCACGAATTAATAATTCTAATCCTATATTCTAATCCATCCAATCAACCATGCCTATATAGATTGAATTGAGCTTACCCATGTAACCCACAAAGACAAGCTTGGCACGTCACTTTCCATGTTAACTTTGGTCTGCTTTTCCTGTAATCACAAATCAACTCACATCTCAACAACACAATATTACAACAAACACAAAAATACATATAAGTTAAATTCACTTTGTTTTTTTGTTTTTCATTTCTCTTGCAGATTCATTAAATAATACAACCCAACAGTAAAAGAACAACGCTAAAGAACTTTCCATATTTTCTAAAATAAAAAGAAAAACAAATATGTATACACTCAAATGATCGAAACCCATTATTATTTTTTTAAAAAAAACTTTGATCAAAACCCAGAAGCTTTTATATATAGATGTAAGACCTTTCGAGGAGGAGAGCGAGAGTCACAATGAAGGCAGCACCAAAGAGAAAGTGATAGGCAATGAGAAAAAAAACCCCACAATGAATATATGTGTGGTGTTGGGGAGAGAGAGAGAGAGAGTCAGTCGGGAATACTTCAATGAGCGTTAAGTGTAAATCCTAAGACTCTGTTTTGGTGAGTAATTTGACAATTAAAAAAAAAAAAAGCAGATCCGAATCGATCAAGAAATAGAGAAGGAGAGAGAGAGAGCCGTCTGAATCGATCAAGAAAATCTTGGTGAAGCTGGTGAGTTCATAATCTCTACCCTCGGAACATTTTCTCTATCACTTTGAATGCAATGTTTGCTTTCCTTTGTCAAGACATTGTGGTTCTGTTGGAATTTCAGCCACAACCCATCTGGGTTTTCTTCAAAATCTATACAGATTCAAAAATCAAAACTACTCCAAAAACATATAAAAAATGACTAGATTACAAAATTGATGAGGGTGAAGAAGACCCACCTCTGTTGTTGTTGTTGTCGTCGTCGTCGTCGTTTTGTTGGGAGTCCCTCCTTGAAGAACAACAGGGTTTGATGAGAGGCTTTTGAATCCTTGATGAAGTAGACCATAAATTGCGAGATGTTAAAAAGCTTCCGAATCGGAATCGAATATCCATTTGAATCTCTGTATATGATTCTTCTAGCTGGTGATAATGCAATATGGTTTCTCAATCTCAGCCAACTAAAATTCAGAATTTCGTCGCTGAAAGTTGACCAAATGGCGACTAAACTCGATGTAGTCGCCAAAAATGAAGCCTTTTGCCGACTAAAATGAATTAGTCGCCGAATACCAGGGATTTAGCGACTAAACTGTTTGTTGGTCGCCGAATGTAGCAGTTTTGCCGACTAAAGGTTGTTTGGTAGCCAAAAGCGATGGTTTTTGGCGACTAAAATAATTTAGTAGCCAAAAGTTATGGTTTTGGCGACTAAAAACCATATTAGTCGCCGATTATAGGTCTTTTGCCGACTAAAAAAAGATTAGTCGCTGAAAATGAAGGTTTTTGGCTACAAAAAAAAAATTAGTAGCTAAAAACAGTGAATTGGCGACTAAATTTCAATTTAGTAGCCAAAACAGGACGTTTTTGGCGACTAAAAACAGATTTAGTCGCGAAAAGTGCTATTTTTAATTTAAACATATTTTTTTAGCAACAACAAATTAATTAGTAGCCCAAAAATCATAGAATTGGCGACTAAATAATTGATTTAGTCGCCAAAAGTGGCCTACATTTTTTTTTAATAAATAATTTATTTTTTACATAAATTTTATTCAATAAAAATAATTATATTTACAGATATGGTTTTGTATAAATACCGGTCAAAATAGTATATAAATAATATATATTACATATATAATCATGTGAGGTTCAAGTGGCATAGTGGAGGGAGTATGTTGGTAAAGGTGTTGGCACTTGGAATGGTTCACGGTTCGAATCTCAGAAAAACCAAAGAATTTGTTTTTTTTTTTTTTTTACGGAAGAACCTTTGGCGACTAAACTTTTAGTCGCCAAAAGTGTTATTTTGGGCGACAAAATAGTTTAGTCGGCGATTCATGGACTATTGGCGACTAAAATATTAGTCGCTAAATGTGTGCTTTTAAAAAGTGTAATGCACCAATGGCGACTAAACAGTTGGTCGCTAAAGAGCTCTTTTTTGCCGACTAAAAAAAGTTTAGTCGCCGATACCTCTCGCGACCGCGTATGCACGACAAAAGGGGCGACTAAAAAAATTAGTCGCTGAAAGTAAAAACTCGACTTTCGGCGACTAAAAGCGGACTTTTGGCGACTAAAAATTTAGTCGCCAAAAGTGATTTTTCTTGTAGTGTTCACAAAATTATCATTAGAAATTGTCATTTTTCTATCAAAAATTGAGGGTTCAATTGACAAATAATGACTGTTTCCACTCGACAGTTCGAATAAATTTGAGATTTATAGAAAAAAAAATATAATTCAAATAATAAAACTTGAATCAAAAATTAAAAAATCTAATTTATAAATTAACTAAAATAGTTAAAATTAAAATAGATATCCATTCATCCAACATATTGACAAACCAGTAAACTAAAAATCCAAATAACTGTAAGTGTTTTTCCTATTGTAAGACTCAACCAAATAATAATGCAAGCTTTTTTCCTATTTTCATGGATTTCAAGCTCACTGTTCCTACTTTTTGGGGTATTTTACCTACAAAAAATAAATAAATAAAGAAGAAGAAGAAGAAGAAGAAGAAGAAGAAGAAGAAGTAGAAGTAGTGTAGATCTTTACTCATACCCACTTAGAAGTTACAAGTGGGTGTTTGTGTGTGTTTCAAGAAGTGTAGAAGTGTGTGTTTCAAGAAGTGTAGATCTTTTTTCTGATTTTTTACTGTGAAACTTTTAGATGAAAGGGGTTAATTTTGTCATGCCCACTTACAAGTTACAAGTGGTGTTTGGGATCACACACCTTTTATTTTTTAAATTTTTAACCAAACACAACGATATCGATTATTTAGGATTATTCTATAATTTTCTGTAATTAACATAGGTCAAATCAAGCAGTTGGTATTATAGTGAAAATTACAGTGAAAGACAATTTCACCCACAAGGTCTAGCCGCGTTATCTAACTCAACTCTATTTCTTTCTTCCATCTTTAGAGGATCTCCAATAGTGAACCAAATTTTACACCAAATTTGAGTAAAAAAAAGTCAATTTTCTCAATCTGATATGGCTTGCTCCAACCGTGCACCAAAAGAGAAGGGTCGACCGGTCGGTCGACCGATGAGGGTAAATTTTTTTTTTTTACCTGTTTGAACATTTTTGATCGGTTTGAACCTACCTATTTGAAAGGGAACTGGTCAACTGGTGGGTCAACCAGCCGGACATCCGGTTGGTTGACCGGTTGGCCCACCCCAACGGTTAAGCACAGTGAAATACTGATATACAGAGCTTGTCCTCAGTTTGATGAAATGTTTGTTCCATTTTCATTTTGATATCAAATTGGTGAAACCATTGGAGCTTGAAAAAGTCACATTTTCATCAAATTTCAAATCTAATGCATGGTTTGATGTACCGTTGGAGATGATCTTAGAAAATACCCATAAATCCATAAATTTGTAGAAAATTGGCTCAACCATGGACAGAAAATTTGCAAAAAATTAAAAAAACAAACACAAAACATATATACACATACAAACACCAACATATCGAGAAATTTGCAAGGAAAAAAAAAAAAAAAAAAAGAAGCTTGGTTGACGTACGAAGTGAAAGCCGGGTTATGAATGAAGCAAATTCAATTGTGTTAATTGAATGATAGTCTTTCAATACCACTTTTTCAAAACCATGGACTCGTTTTGGCCTCTTATTATTTTATATATATTTATATAAAAGTAATTTAATATAATAATAAAATATAATTTTTAATATTAAAATATGTCAAAAATGTCCAAGGATTTTTATGTAATTTCATATTCTTAATACTCACACAAACAAGTTTCACCAAACTAATACAATTTTACTTAATTCTCATATTAATAATCTTTACACTAACAATATCTTCATTAATAATTTTTACATTAACAATCATATCCATCCTAAAACAAATGGTCCCTTGAGTCAATGCATGGAATGGAAAATTAACCCAAATTCTATGCATAATTTCCAAAAGCTCTCCACCCAATTAATTCTACCAACCAACCTTAATGGCATAATAGAAAATAAAAATACAAAAGGTTAAAATATAAGAAAATAAAAATACAAGCCTGACGGTTGTACAAATTTAGGGTTTTTATTTTTTTAATTTGAATAAACTATGAATATACTTTTTAAGGTTAGCAAGAGGACCATAATGATGTAAACTTTTTAGGCGTTCATCTTTTAAGTCTATTGGACATAAAGTTGAAATTGAAACAATTTAAAACTGTCAATTTATTTTGTTATAAATGTTAATTATGTTTTTTTTTCTTTTGGGGGTAATAATGAGCCTTTTTTTTTTTTTGAATAACTAATATTTAATTTTACAAAAGGTCAAGGTATAATAGTCAAAAGTTGAGAACATAACAATCATTCTAAAATCACTTTTTCAAAAATGGAGAAATATTATAGTGTAACTTTATCTCAAATGTGCATCCTGCCATAAAATGTGTAATTTTACCATAAAAATTAGTAACATCAATTACAAAATCCATAATTTCGTAACAATTTAGCTTAACAAAATATTCAAAATTTGATGTTAAAAAATTTATGACTTGGTTATAATATTTTTTGTAATACCAATTTATAGCGAGATTATGCATTTCATAGCTGATGTTACAAAATTTTATAATAAATTTATTTTTTTTGTGATAAAATTTATGCGATACGCATCTCTAAAGAGATGCACATTATAGCATTTTTTTTAAAAATAACTCCATAAAATTCATATTCTTAATTTAGGGTTCGTTTGGAATGTGGATTGACTTTTTGACTTTTTGGCTATTTTAGCCTAGAGTTGAAAAGCCTCGTTTCGGATGAGTTTTTTTTAGTTTTTTTAATTTTATGAGAGAAAAAGTATAATGATTATGAGTTGGATGCAATGTTTTGTCTTATTAAACTAAAAAATCTATTTTATTTTTGGGCAAATTACCAACACCCCCCTCGAGGTTTGACTAAAATACATATTTTTCCTTAAGGTTTGAAAAATTACAAATTCCCCCTTGACGGTTATATTTGCATAACAAATTAGGAGACAATTTGTTAAGCAAATATAAACCTCAAGGGACAAATTTGTTATGAAAATATAAACCTCAGGAGATGAGATACAATTTTTCAAACCTCAAAAGAAAAATCTATATTTTAGTCAAACCTCAAGGAAAGTGTTGATAATTTATCCTTTTTTTTTTTTGGTACCTAAAATAGTGAAAAAGCCCCGGACATTTTCTTCGCAAACAAACCCTTATTTATTTTTTAATTTTTATAGTCACATGGTGTATCGGTGGCAAGGGCCAAGGGATAGTGGCGGCCGGATAATTCAATTTGTGCAACTAATACAACTTGAGGGCAAAATAGGAATCAAAGTACAAGCTAACTTTTATATAGAGCAGTGCTATTTACACCTACCTTTTTTTATTTAGGACCCCCTATCGCTCATATTTTTTTTAATTTCAATTTTATTTAAACAGGAAATTCCTAATTTACTCTCATCCCTAACCTTCCAATCAGGGGCGGAGGCAGCATGTGACCAGGGCGGTCACGTGCCCCTCCTGAATTTTGGAATTTTTTTTTTTTTTTTTTTCAAACATAAAAAAAAAATTACAAAAATATTATTAGAGTGAAATGTCAATGACATTTTAAAAATTATGAAAACAATAATGGTTGTTTTGATTGAAAATGAAGAGACTATAAATAAACTATATTAACTATGAAAATTTTTGAATGTAACGATGATGTTATTATTAGTAATATGCAAGTATAAGTAATCTCACTATAAAGATATGAAATTTATTAGATTGTTAGTTACATTTGACATGTGAGGTTCACTCTTTATGCACAATTATGACGTGATATTACCATTATATTCAACTTTTAATCAAATTTTGTATCAAAAAATAATTTATCATTATATAATTTATTTTAAGGCTTACATCTATATTTTTTTTTTTGTATTGTCCATGATACACTAGTTACAAACAAATTTTTTTTTTTTTATATTTCCTGAAATCAATC